CGTAACAGGCAAGTGTGCTAAATGAGCCTCGATATTCACCAGGATCTCTGAATTTCGCAGCCTCCTCTGTAACACCGCCTTCGACTGGACCACAACGTCTTCATCCCCCCCCCCCCCCCCCAAATGACCGGGGCTTCAGAGGTGGCAGATGTGTCACTTTCAGCACTGGACAGCGCCACCACACAGGCAGCTACAGGTTTATAGAGATCAGCACCGGACAGCTCCCCTGTTAGAACAATAGACTCGGCAGTATCAGCAGCTAAGCCACTACTCGAGTCAGGCGCATTCGCCCTCTCGTTGTACGGCTTCAACATATTAACGTGACAAAGCCTGCTCTTACGACCCCGGTCAGGGGTAGCTCCAGCTGAAGTTGAAGCTCGCTCATTGACGGAGAGACCTCTGTCTCCTCGTCTTTGGGAGAACAAGCAACGCCCCCTTCCTCCTCCGACAACACTTCCTGCATACCAGCGCAGCCAACAGCTGTTCTTTAATGACTTGTTTCCTGCTTTGTTTATTAAACGCAACGTCAAACCTGCCTGCGATTAACTCAAGCTGCTGTTTGTTACATGCATCCAACTTCCCCCGAGTTGGAACATTAGCAAACTCCTCCAAGTCAAAATCCATTCTAACGTTGAAACTCACCCTAAAACCAGTAACCAGGTAGACTACTTAGGCAACTCTACACTGCACACAAACAAACAAAACACATGCTGTCAAGGGCCATTCTACAAAAGAAACACACTCACCACACCGGCACCTGCCCGAGACAGCCTTTGGACGAGCCCCCATATGTTACGACCTGTCCTCTACCAAGTGGTAGTGGCTCGTGGGAAGACCCGCAACATAAAATAAATCACACTTATCGGCGAGCATTTATTTAAGAGCACAGCCGTTACTTACATGGGCCCACCGGCAAACGAACCACGTCTGGAGGACGGCAAAAACAAACAAAAGAAGAAGGGGGCCTGGGCCAGCCAGTCCACTGGCCGTAGGACCCAGAACTTCCCTCCTCTACCCAGAGATCTAACAAAAAAAACCCTACGGGAAAAATAAAGCCACGAAAAAACCTATACTAACAGGTCCTCCAGAGTTCACACATTATGGTAGCAACAACAGGAATCTACAGATCCAAACGGCATCAGATAGTTTGTTCACGGTCAGGGACTACCGGCATCGGGGAAAAGGGGCCCTCTTCTCCTCCAGCTTCTCCTTTTTAAGTCCCCAGCTGAATGGTATTAGGACACCTGGGGGAGGCGGAGCCAGGGGCGGACCAGGTGTACCTGCGCAGCAGAGAGACAGAGAAAAACAACAACAAGAGCACGTAACAAGCCCTGAGCCTGTTTTTCAGGTCTCAGGCTCGAAAATGACATTCCCAGAACAAATTACCATATCTTCCCTTCTAAAAGGGTTAAATTAATAATCTTTTTTCTCAAAGTAATGATAAACCTGTGAGTTGGATGTAGAAAAGTCAGAATCAATATAGATGTTTTTTATTTTAAAGAAAATTCAGATTTTACATAGTAAAAAACTGTAAATTATAGTGTCCGTCCAAAAATTATTTTTTACAGATAGTGAAAACTACCCTTGGATGATGGGTTAGTAGACTAAAAGCTTTAGGAATCCAAAGTACAACATATAATAAGTACCCTGTATCAAGATTGATGCAAAACAAGTGACATTTGACCTTTTTAGAGAGATTTAGCAAAAAGAAACCACTTCTGGGGTCATTTGGGTGGATTTTCCATATCTCTGGCCCCCCTTGCTCGATTTTGATGGTTGACACCTCTTTCTGACCGTTAGAGCGAATAGAATCGAAGGGGGAGGCCCACACACACACTCATTGTGAAACAAAAAGGTGGGGGCTATGCGCATGTAATTTTGCATTAGAGTGAAGCTACACTCTAGCTGATATCTAGAAACGGAAAAACATGGATTATCAATCTCATTGCTCATGGATTATCAGAAATCATTTCAAATACAAATCTTAAAGGTCCAAAAAAATTGTTTCAATAAGACAAAGGTCCGTTTATTACGGTCTTTTAAACAATTGCAACAAGATTCTTAAAGGAGAGGTGTCATGCTTTTCCGGTTATTACCCGTACCCCTTTTTATGCATGTAAACGGTGTGCAGAGTCAAAACCCTCAAAGTACACCCTGTAGCGAGTAAAACTCTAACACAGAAAATACCTCCCCAAAACGCCTCGTTGGAGATACGTCACTGCCCATTTGAGTCTTCCATTTCGTTCCGGGTACGGCATGATGTCAAGCGGTACCCGGAACGAAATGCACCAATCCCGAAGAGCCGTTACGTTACGTCCGCGGAGCCGTTACGTTAAGCCCCCGCTGATTGGTCCAAATTGACCAATCCACGGACTTCCTCACACACACATCTGTGTGCAGGGAGCAGGCAGCTCAGCTGATTTCTCCTCCCTGGCTGCAGGCTGATAACAGACAGTTGGGATCGCGGCGAAATTCTCTCTGCAGACCCATTCTCTCTGCGGACCCATTCTCTCTGCAGACCCATTCTCTCTGCAGACCCATTCTCTCTGCAGACCCATTCTCACAGCGTTTATCAACCTTTTTCTTACTCAATATCAAGCCACACTTATTGTTTTTACTTCGGCTGTGAGTTTGTGTGTGCTCAGGATGAGTTTGGCTGTGTTTCGCTATGTATCCTAAACAAGGAAACAACACCTCCACGGAGCTCAGCGCGATTCACAACGTCCCGACCAATCAGAGCACACTGTGCTCACAGGGAGGGTGGGGGCTGGAGCTATTGGAGCTACAATGAGCCGTTAAAGGCAGATAGTGAAATTCAATGAATACAAGTAGTTTACAGAGATGCTGTTTGAGAAACCAATGTGAGTTTGGAAAAATGCACAGTATAAATCTATTTTAGTAGACCTTAACAATGGAATTATGATCAGTGGAAATGGCCATGACACCTCTCCTTTAACACAAGGTTGCAAAAACAAAAATAATCTGTATGCAGCAGTTTTCATTGTTATTGTGTCTGTGCTTGATCCCTCAGAGTCGCAGTGTAAGAGCTGCACAGTTATGAATAAAGGCAGCTGCACCCTCTTTCATTCAGCATTCCCATTATTGCTTTATAAATGTCTTGCCCCCTTGTGTGTCCACTGAGGTTCGTCAGGCCCAACACATCTTCAACAAACTCCCCCTTTGCCTCATCATAAAAACTCACAAACACCAGCAACTGAGCATTTTCAGTGGTGTCAGTGGACTCATCCACAGCTAAGGAAATGCACTGTGCATTTTTTATTCCATCACAAAGCTGATTCATCAAATCACCAGCCAGTATTTATGTTCTTCTGGTTGCTGTGGAATCTGAGAGGGGGATTTGCTTGATTTGACCTGTTATTTCCTCTTTTTGTTTGCCTTCAAACATGGTCTCCATCACTTCAGTCATGCATTCTTTTATACTTCAGTTATTATCCAGTGGAATGTCCTTACCTACTGGCCTAGTTCAATCAAAGTGGTTACTTTTTTTTGGCTGGGTGTAGTTTTACACACCGTCTTATTTTACTTTCTCAGGACTTAAAACTGTTTTTTTGGGGGCAGACCCCCACAAAGAAAAATATATATTTACACACGTAAGGTCATCATCTTAACAGTGTTGTATGCTCATCCGTGAGCAGAGCATCAAGTTGACATGTCTATTACAGCTGAATGCGGCGATTACCATTTTGTTCAGCAAAACGCCTCACAAACTGATTAAGATCAACAGCTTTAGTGCGTTTTAATTCAATGCTGAGTACAGCCACACTGACAGTCTCTTCTCTGTCATTGTAGACCGCACCTCATTCCTTCAGTACTTGGGTCCGAATGCTTCTCGTTTTGCGCCGTCCCGTTCAAATGAAATCAGGGCCGGGGGAGGGGTTACAAGACGTGCGTCTTGTGCTGCATTCACTTGCACTCGGACATTAGAGACTTTCTCTCTCATATGTCCGATGAGCCACAACTTTTCTTTCAAAACAAAGCTGCCAACTGGGGTGGCAGCTGGGGTGGCAAGGCCTATTTTTAGGGTGGCAGTTGCCACCCCATGCCACCCCGGTAGGTGAAACTAGGCTACTAGCTACAGTACAGATGCAACTAGATGAGCTGTTAACTCTCGCTCTGACTTTTTTTTTTTAAACACACACGCATTTTTCCCACCCGCATTCCGCGAAGACCCGCCCTACTGTGCCTCTGATTCGCAGACTGTTGGTGGGGGAAAAAAAGCTGACGGGATGCTGAATGTGATTGGACCAATGCGTTGACAGACACACACACAGACAGTGGAACAGTCGGACATGCAGAGCGCTGTTTGCAGTGGACATAGCGGAGAATTTTGACTCGTTGCGTTGTGGCGATGTCTCGCAGATAACACGGATAATACAGATAATACATATGAGAAGTATAATTTGCTCAGAGTCCAGAGACAGTTGTGGTTCAGTCCGGATCCGGAGTCCGGACTTTGAGGATGCCTGCATTAGATTAACCTATGGATTAACATCAGCAGCGTTTTTATCGTTTTAATGCCATTGAAGACCATTTTGGAGAGTAGAGAAAAGATAAATAATAAGGTTTTGTGAGTGATTTTCGGTGCAGTAATCTGTTAGCCTTTTTCGCTCGTTGCTAATTCAGAGGCTCATTGTTAGCATTGTGGGTTTTCTTTTGAAAAAAAAAAAAAAATGATCAGTTAGATGAGTTTCTTCCCGTTACATGGATATAAAACATTCATAGTTTATTAAATGAACATGCCCTCAGACACTGTTTCCTGCAAGATGTTGCGGCAGTGCCCCGGTACCGGGGTCTCTCGGGCTTAACAGGTTAACAGGCACTTTATGGGGACTCTCATTGAGGGACAAAATACTGGCTAAAATACTTTTTTGGCTAAGTTTAGGGTGACAGTCACATTTCCCTCATTTGGCTTGTCATTAGTTCCACCATATCCCCCTGAAAACCTCACAAGTTGGATTTAAAAGGTCTCGTTACTCTACCTCCTGCTCCAGCTGAGGCTCGGTGGCGTTGGTGGCTCTGTACAGCATCATATATCCCGTCGCTCCCTCCGCTGCCCCCCATCTCACCTTCATGGTGGTCGAGGTCTCATCGTACACATTCATGTTCTTCACGGCTGAAAGTGGCACTGAGGCGACAAAAACACAAAGTCAGACCGGTGAAAAGCACAATGTTACGTTCATCTTTTTGTCTTGGTTTGATGTTTTAATAGTACAAATCCAATGCTTAGATGTATTTGAAGTATCTGAAGAAGATTTCTTGGACCAAAAGACTGACTGAGTGGGATGGAAATGACATTATTCCCGATATTTGATATTTGGAGGTGGTTTTGGCACAGAGAAATGGATAATGATACAAACAGGCGAGAAACATCAAGGTCATATTTTTTGAAAATCCCAGAAAGTCCCAAAGAGATCATCGAGTTTAATGCTTTTTGATGTGCAGAATATCTAGTATCACATTGTCCAGAAACAGCTTCTGGTTTTTAAAGGATTTTTTTCTGGGCTCAAGGATATTTCTGCTGGAGTAATCATATTTTTATATATAACAAGGTTTGTAACAGGGTTTTTACATGTGAGAGAATGTCAAAAACACACAGGGAAAGCATTGCATTAGAACGAAACTGCTGCCCATTGAATAAAAAAGTCTAAATAAGTTGGTTTACACCATATTAGCAAGTTGTTTTAAAATCCTTTTCTACGGGACACACAGACAAATCTATTTCTCACTCATTTTGGAAAACAATTCTATATATTGTATGTTAGTCATATAATTAAAAGGGTTCATAACATACATTTCAAGGACTTTCCAGGCAATTCCTTTAAATGTAAGGACCCAACATTGAATGGTTTCTGACACAACCCAAGATGGGAAGGTGTTGAGTTAAAAAATTGACAAAACTGTGGGAAACAGACATCTAAACTTAGCCTATTAAGTAAAAAAAAAAGTAAAAATCGGACTTCAGTTTTCCTTTAATGCAGACAAACTATTTATGTCTATTATGATATATATTTTCTTTTATTTACCAACCTTCAAGGACCCATAGGAACCATTGAAAGCCAGCCTTGGTTCAAAAAGCTGTTGGAAATTGGATGAATATTTGGATTTCTTCCAAATTATCCGGTCGCTTTTTTGCATGATTTATCTGTTGTATTTCTTCTATGTCCTATATTCATGTTGCTCTGTTGGAGGAGCCTGGGACTTCAGTTTTTCATTGACATATATACACTGTAGCTAATGAACAAATGACGATAAAGCCTTGAAACTTGAATCTTGATTTTTGAATCTTGAAAAATCCCCTTTGTATTTCCTCCTAGTTTCCATCACAAGAATGAATAATAGAGTAAAATTCATCATCTTTTCGGATTTAATCATCTGTGCCTATTTATCAAAAGTTCATTTGATTTACTGAAACACTTGTTTGAACTTTTTTTCGACATGTCACCTTTTTCATCTTTTTTGATCTGTTCTACGACAGTATGAGTTCTTCTTTTCAAACGGTCATTAGTACCACCATCTGCACCGGGTAAAAGCAGATGTGATTTACCGAGAAGTATTATCATGTCTTTACTCGGACTAAAGGAACATGTCGTCCTTCATAAGCAGATAAACGCCCTCGAGCATCTGCAAAACGAAATGAAAGCCATAGTAAACATTTCCTAAATGTATGGTTGTCAGAGTTAAGTGCTTTGGCATTTTTAAAGTGCGGAAAAGTATAATTTATTTAAAAGCTGACGACGTTTCCACCTGACTTCCAACACAGGTAATGACTGGAGATGTAAATCTGACTCAGCGCTGATTAAAGAAGAAACTGGAATTACAGCCGAAAGCGACGGCAGCTCCGGCTTCATTTCAATAATGACGTCCTTAAAGATGTCTTCAAAATTCGAAGAGAGTAGATGTTTCATTTATTAAAAGGCAGAATTCTGCATTTACTTTAAATTTGACAATTTATGGTGTGCCTCCTGGGGAAAGGAAACACCACATAAAGACATATATTAAAATATAATCTAAATCTACAGAAAAATTGAATATTTTCTAAGATTCTAAAGTCATCCAATAATATCTGGACTAAAGTCACAGATTTAGAATGAAAACATTTGGAAAATACATATTATACATATGTTAATTTGTTCCAAATGTTCTTGGTGTGGATATAACGGTATCGCTCTTACTCATAACCATTAAGCCTCCGTTTAAGACATCGCTCAAATATTTTGGAAAAATTGGCAGAAATCGCACTTTTCAAGCAGGATTGGACATATTCGTCAAAGGTAACACAAATATTTAGGTTTAATCGAAAAATAAAAGTGTGTTTTGTAATGTTATAGCCTCAATAAAGCAGCCAAGATGCTTTACTGTCGGAAGATTCCCTTTTAAAATCATGATATCTAAATCTAACAGAGTATTTTTAAACACGAGTGTCTGTATTTCTACTTGAGTAAAGGATGTGTGTACTTCTACATGAGTAAAGGATGTGTGTACTTCTACTTGAGTAAAGGATGTGTGTACTTCTACATGAGTAAAGGATGTGTGTACTTCTACTTGAGTAAAGGATGTGTGTACTTCTACATGAGTAAAGGATGTGTGTACTTATACTTGAGTAAAGAATGTGTGTACTTCTACTTGAGTAAAGGATGTGTGTACTTCTACATGAGTAAAGGATGTGTGTACTTCTACTTGAGTAAAGAATGTGTGTACTTCCACTTGAGTAAAGGATGTGTGTACTTCTACTTGAGTAAAGGATGTGTGTACTCCTGCCTCTCTGCTCTCTTCCTACCTGGATCCTTGACGCTGTTACACAGGTTGATGGTGAGCTCGTCCACGATGTCCAGCAGGAACATGAATTCGTTCACGTTGTACATGTGGATGTCGTCGGGGTCCGAGGCGATTGCCCTCAACTCGTCCTCATTGGCGTTCTTCACACCTGAGACGGAGAAAGATAGGAGTCAGAAGTGTGCCGGAAAATTAGAGCCTAAAATCAAGACGAACATGAAATAAAGGACTCAAATATATTCTATTTTTGTGACATTTACATTATTTTATATGACCTTATTTAAAAACAGCTTCTTCTTGTTGTTAGCAGCATTTTACAACTGTGTTATTTCCATTAAATCTTGTTAGTTGCATGTCTTTTAATAAATACCACCGTACCGACTGCGTAGAGCTCGATGCCGTTCTCTCTCAGGCTCTGCGAGGTGAACACGATTTCGTCCTGAGACTTTCCGTCAGTGATCAGGATGCCAATTTTTCGGGAGTTTTTACGCATCCCCGCGCTGGTTTTGAAGTTATTCTGCAGGATATAGTTCAGCGCCATCCCTGTGTGAAACAAATAAAGACTTTAACAACCTCTAAACTTCAGACTGCATTAAATAACAGTGAAAATAAACTATATTCTTAACATGTTTCATATAAAGTGCTTTACATAAATGGAAAATAGACAAGGAATTAATGTAAAAACAGGTAAAAGATGCCATTACATATATACATTTAAATATATATATCATATAAATATTCTAAAGTTAAACAAAGCCAAACCTTCAGGGGCTTTGAACCAACATTCAACATCATTTCCATTCATTACAGTATTACCAAAACAATCTTTAAATCTGAGTTAGCACATACATTTTCTCAGTGCAATAATATTTGTACATGTTCAAATACAAAACATCTAACTAGTAGTGTAGACTGCAAAAAAGTTCCCATACATTTTTGGGGGAAAACTCATATTTCTCACAGATAACATCAACTTTCTGAGTGATAAAAGCATCAGTTCTCTTCAGCTAATAAGTATTTTTTTTTTTTTTTTTTTGTATTTATCTATAGAAGGACCATGCATACAAAAACGTTAATCTCAGCAAAGAGATGCAATATGCATAAAGTAAATTCTCTATCTGTTGCTTAACGTACCTGTCATGGTGTTTCCTCCTTTGTACGGCAAATTAGCGATGGCATCCAGCAGGGAGTCCTTGGTGCTATGAGCGTTCAGGTGCCACTCAGTTTTTGGGTCTCCACTGTACTGAGCCAGACCTGAAGCAGGAACAAAACACCAAGGACACAACAAACTGTCTTTAGAATGAACTATAGCCCAACGTTAGCCACCTTTAGCTTAGCGGTGGTGACGTGAAGTCATGTGACCGTGCTGTAGTTCCTTTATAGCCCAACATTAACTTTTTACTTCAGGAAATCATAAAGTGGTGTTAATATGTGGAGATTATCCTGCTGAACTAAACGTGTAAGTATCATAAACGTTTCTTTCGTATTTACTGCAATAATCCAAAATCACATGGAGAAAAGCCATTGAACCAGGGAGATGCTGCCTTCAGGATCCACTCAGAAATACGACATCTCTGTACACCTTTATAGAGATAGAGATAGATTGCTGTGAGATATTACCGATCTGCACTCTGTCAGGGCTGATGTCGAACACGCTGACCATGCGAGCGAGGAAGTTTCTGATGGTTTTGAAGTTCAATCGCCCGACGCTCCAGGAGCCGTCGACCAGCAGCACAAGATCTGCTTGTGCTGTGGTATTACACTTAGTGCCTGCAGAGAAACAGTGAGGAAGAGGGAGGAGGATAAGAAAGAGACACCTGGTACAACAAAGACAACCACCATGAGTTTTATATGAGGAGTAAGAGACAGATGTATGTGGGGAAAGTGAGAGAAAAATAGCATCACAAGTTGAAGATGTTTACACCACAGACACAGATCAAAATCATGGTACAACAGCTGGTATGTTTTGATTAAGTGCTTTCTCTCTTCCGGGCTTTTTGTCCTCTTCAAGCACAGCAAGATCATTTCAATTTGTTTACATCCAGCGGCGAAAATCTGCATACTTTTCTTCTTCGTGATATACGACGTTCTCCTGCACATTCCTGCTCCAGGCACCTGAAAAATGTCCGCTTGTCCTCTTTCTTTTTTGTCAGTGACACGCCCAGCACTTAAAAAGCCAGACCCCTGTCGGTGCAATTGAAAACAGGTTAAGAGATCATCGATTTGACATTTTCTTTCCAGCAGCAGACCGCAGCAACAGATGCTAAAAAGGAACTCTGTTTGAGTTGTACCGACTGTCGGTAAACAAAACACTCATGCGTCCCTACGACATTCATTAATAAAAACACATGTGATAAACAGAGGCAGCTTTAAGAGGCAATAATGTGCTGCAGACCAGTGTCTCCAGTTGCAACACAGTCTCACTCCCTGATCGTCCAATAGCGACGCTTGGTCAGGGTCCTTTGGCGTACAGTTGTGACGCGCCGAGTCTCCTTCAGCTTCATTAACGGACGTGAAGAGCTTTCAAGTGAATGCAATGTACTCCCATCGGCGGCGGTATTTGACGCTCAGGGAAGCACCTCATCGGTCCATGTCGGCGGCAGTTAAAGGCAATGTGAGCGTCCATTCCCATTGGATAACGGAGGATTTTACACCCGGAAGTAAGTATTCTCCTTACTGTCGATTGATTTTACAGTGATATCTGCACGACTCATCAACTCAAACACACCAGATTATCCTTGTTAATTACACAACATTGATTGGTTTAAATTGTGTGCAATGCTTTTGTATTTTTCCCCTTCGATTCGGAGAAAAAAGTATTTTTTCGGAGTTTGGGATTGCCGAAGACACTACACTACCCAGAATCCTCAGCTATCGTTCTGCTTTGCTCGACAAACCCCGTGATTAGTCCTCAAGCTCTGTGATTGGTTGACCTCCAACTGCATTCCATATGAAAAAAAACATTTCGTAAAAGATAAAATCGTACTTTATTCAGCAGTGCTTGCTTTACTCTGTGAAAGTCATCACATGAATGCATTGTAATGAATGGTTTGGCTGCATTAAATATTACACATCTGTCGTAGTTCTTTATTTATCTACAGAGATCGGGCCTCAGAATAGACCGGAAACTATTCTTTTACCGTTCTGTTTTAATTTCACAATAAAGTTAGTAGTAATAATTTGTTTTGATATTATTGTTTTTTATTAACTACTATACCGCTGGGTCATGTTAAGACCATCTTTTCTGTGTTGCTGTGGGTTTTTTACATCGCTTTTGTGTTACAAATATCAAAACAATAACAGAATATATCCGTCGTAAACTAAACCAGAAACAGCAGTATATTTTATACTTTTACACTGTAAACTTTTTAAGCCGCACCTCCTACTGGTTAAAGCACGTTATTACACGTTTAGAGTAATTGCAGTGCAGGTAGATTGTGTTGCTTTTTAATGACTGTAAAATGCCTTTTTCTTAATGTCTTTCATTTTTGTAAAGCACTTTGAATTGCCTTGTGTTGAAAGGTGCTGTATAAATAAACGTGCCTTGCCTTGCCTAAGGTCTGTTCTATAGGGGGAAAGTAGAAGGTCAATGATAGACATATAGAATAGAAAATATCAAGAAGATACTGTAGTGATCTCTACAATAAAACAGTGTAGTGCAGGACGTCCAAAGATATTAATAGGAGGATGTGCAAAACAGACAAACTAATTAGGCTTTATTAAAACATTAAATAATACTTTAGGTTAAGGTCTTCTTTTAAATACATGTAAGCATAAAGCTTTGGGGGTATCTACAGATAAATATTAAGCCTGACAAAGTACTTAAAGTCTAATATATTGCATGGTTTGTTTTAGGACTTGACAATCAACTTTCCTGCAATGTTAACTATGTTGAAGCACTTATTTTAACCGATATTATACATATGTATTGTACTCTTATAAGATGTATGTAGGTAGAATAAGAAATGTGCAGAATATGAAAGTTTAATGGTGGAGGTACACAGATATCGATAGATGTCTTGTGATGCACTGTTGAGGAACCTGTGACCTAAGTTTTTCATTCATCGCATAACTACACCGTAGTTGTGTATATGATATGTCAATAAACCTTAGAAAATCTTGAAATCTTGAAAGGGATGTGCCAAATAGCCATTATATACAGTTTTTGATGAACGATTAGAGAATAACGAGTAATGAATATACTTTATAGGGATCTGCAGATAAATATTTAGTCTTCTCAAGCACCCACTACCAAATATCTCGCCTGATTGTTGGCACTTGACAATCACCTTCACTGAATTTTACTCAGGTGTAACTAAAGTCTGATTTAAGGCAAGGCAAGGCAAGGCAAGGCAAGGCAAGGCAAGGCAAGGCAAGTTTATTTATATAGCACCTTTCAACACAAGGTAATTCAAAGTGCTTTACAAAAATGGAAGACATTTTAAAAATGGCATTTAAAATCAGTCATTAAAAAGGAAAGATAATAAAATAAACATTAAAAGAAAAAATACATGGATAAAAGTTAAAAGTTACAGTGCAGTTTAAGATGTGAATAGTTCAATTAAAAGCAGCGGCAAAAAGAAAAGTCTTCAGCCTGGATTTAAAAGTAGTAAGAGTTGCAGCGGACCTGCAGGTTTCTGGAAGTTTGTTCCAGATATTCGGAGCATAATAACTGAATGCTGCTTTACCATGTTTAGTTCTGACTGTGGGGACAGAAAGCTGACCAGTCCCTGAAGACCTGAGGGTTCTGGATGGTTCATAATTTAGCAGTAGGTCAGACATGTATTTTGGGCCTAAACCATTCAAAGCTTTATAAACCAGCAACAATGTTTTGAAATCTATTCTTTGACACACAGGAAGCCAGTGTAAAGACTTCAGAACAGGAGTGATGTGATCCACTTTCTTAGTGTTAGTGAGGACTCGAGCAGCGGCGTTCTGAATTAGCTGCAGCTTTCTAATAGATTTTTTAGTGAGGCCTGTAAAGACACCATTGCAGTAGTCGAGTCTACTGAAGATAAAAGCATGGACAAGTTTTTCCAAATCCTGCTGTGACATTAGTCCTTTAATCCTAGATATGTTCTTTAGGTGATAGTAGGCTGATTTAGTAACTGTTTTAATGTGACTGTTGAAACTCAGGTCAGAGTCCATGACTACACCTAGATTTCTGGCTTTATCTGTTGTTTTGAACATTGCAGACTGAAGCTCAGCGCTAACTTTTATACGTTCTGCCTTGGCTCCAAAAACCATTACCTCAGTTTTATCTTTGTTTAATTGGAGAAAGTTCTGACACATCCAGTCATTGATTTGTTCAATGCACTTACTCAGTGTTTGAATTGGAGGATAATCTCCTGGTGAAATTGTTACGTAAATTTGTGTGTCATCCGCATAGCTATGGTAACTTATTTTGTTGTTTTTCATTATCTGAGCCAGTGGTAGCATGTAGATGTTAAAGAGAAGAGGCCCCAAGATGGAGCCTTGAGGTACCCCACATGTCATATTTGTCAACTCAGATGTGTATTTACCTATAGAAATAAAGTTTTTTCTGTCCTTTAAGTAGGACTCAAACCAATTTAGAACTGTTGCCGAAAGTCCCACCCAGTTTTCTAGTCGGTCTAGTAATATGTTGTGGTCAACAGTGTCAAATGCAGCACTGAGATCTAATAATACTAACACTGAAGTTCTGCCACTGTCTGTGTTTAAGTGGATGTCATTGAAGACCTTTACAAGAGCAGTCTCAGTGCTGTGGTTTGGACGAAATCCTGACTGGAACACATCCAAACAGTTATTTAAATGCAAGAAGTTACTCAACTGTTGAAATACTACTTTTTCAATGATTTTACCTAGAAATGGCAGGTTTGATATTGGCCTGTAATTGTTCATTACTGAGGCATCTAGATTATTCTTTTTTAAGAGCGGTTTAATGACTGCAGTTTTCAGGGCCTCTGGAAAAATACCTGAGTGAAGAGATGTGTTTACTATATGAAGTAGATCTGAGGCCATGCAAGGAAAAACATCTTTGAAAAATCCTGTTGGAATAATATCAAGGCAGCAGGAGGAGGATTTCAGAAGTTGAATAATGTCCTCTAAGTTTTTACCATTAATCTGATGGAATTGTGTCATGGTGTTTGAATTGATATTAGGTGGACATAGGGACAAAACATTTGCTGTACCTGATGTAGAGGCACTGACTGCTTTTCTGAATTTTGTCAGTGAAGAAGGAGGCAAAATCATTGCACGCCCTGGTGGATAGAAATTCAGAGGCTACTGACACTGGGGGGTTAGTTAGTCTGTCTACGGTAGCAAACAAGGCACGTGCGTTGTTTTTGTTTTTGGTAATGATGTCAGAGAAGAAAGACTGTCGTGCGTTTTTCAATTCCAAATTATAAAGGCCAAGTCTCTCTTTATAGATTTCAAAGTGAACCTGGAGATTTGTTTTTCGCCACCTACGTTCAGCTTTTCGACACTCTCTTTTTTCTGTTCTCACGGTCATGGCCTTTCTCCATGGAGATATTTTCTTGCTAATCACTTCCTTTACCTTAGTTGGAGCAATGGTATCTATAACATTTTTAATTTTTGAATTAAAATGATCTACTAGCTCATTTACTGAGATGTTAGCAGGGGCAAGTGTGGATGAGAAATTATGAGTAAACATTTCCCTAGTATTTTCAGTTAAATATCGCTTTGTGGTTACCTCTTTCTGAACATTTTTGTGAACAGAAATAGAGCTCTCAAAGAAAACACAGGAATGATCAGAGAGTGCAACATCAGTC